TAATACTTCCTTGAGATAAATGTATAGTATATATCAGGTGCCTCAAAGAGAGCTCAGGTTCTCAACTGGCTCAGCTATGTTAATATTGTTATTATTAGCCACTCTATATCCGTATTTTTCTGGCTAAATAAAATGTTTCAATTCAATTCAATTCAATTCAATTCAACAAGTCAGGGAGCTAATAAGTCCTACATTAGACCCGAAAAACGTAAGTTTTTATTTGGTTTAACACCCTACTCTACTCAAATATATCATATGTAGTTGTTAATAGTGAAGGAACGTACGATTGAATTAATTATCTCATATGTAACATATGTAATTTGTACTCTGCAGGATTTGACCGAATAAAGAACAATCGAGTCCTATGTGCAAGGGTTTCATTGTTCCACAGTCGCTCATCGGGCGGTTCCAGTCAAAACGTGGGTCCTACAGTTTACCGATATACAGTAGTCTACTGAGAACTGGCGAGTAGCTCGACCGTCGACTGACCTTCAGCGTGCTCTTCCCTCTGGCACCCGACACACCCTGGAGCGCCACAGCAGGAGAGAGGGGACGCCTTTGTGTGAATTTGTGAATCATCGACTAAAGTGTGATGCCTATAATATAATATAATAATAGTTAACCCCAGCGAAAAGTGGGTTGAGTGTGTGTATAGCACTCGTATTTGTACGTAGAGAAGGGTGACACCTCTGTATGTGGGTTCAGTGTCAGAAAGGACTGGTCTCGGTGCCAAAATTGTTTGTATGGGAGCTTGGGAGTGTTATCACTCATTCCGGAATGGCACGCCGCCTGCGTACACGTGCGTACACGCGGAAGAGGTAGTGTTCAAAGTGTACAGCCAGACTGGATCACCAATTGTAAATAAAATTTAAGAACGAGTGAGTTGCCCTTTCTATTAGAAAATAGTAGTTGTGACAGTTAAGTAACGTTGTGAGTAAGGATACAGTAGTGCTTGTGGCATCAGTTTTATGATCTTAGCAGTTGTGTAATGATCTCTACACTGATTGTGGTTCTTCTGTTGTCGTGTTAGTGGGACAACGCTCGTGCTTATTGCACGCGTTTATATTACTTCAGTTGTATGACATCGATTATATGAACTTCAGTTGTATGACATCGCTTATATAACTTCAGTTGTATGACATCGCTTATATGACTCCAGTTGTATGACATCGCTTGTATGACATCACTTGTATGACCTCAGTTATATGAAATCGTTATAAACGAGCAGGTGTTTCAGTTGAAGAGTGCTCCCTCTTAACCGAACGTCTCTATAACTTTCCACCAAAAGAGCCATATCGAGTTCACTGTGCCGCTAGTCATGGAAGGGAACAAGGCAGAGGAGTTAAGCCTAGCCAGCATAGAAGACCTGGAGACCCTGAACGACAGAGATGCTAACCGGTCACTCGCACAGCCAGGGCGAAGTGGAGAAACCCCTTCACCCGAGAGAAGGATGCAACCAACAGGCCGGTTGAATAGGGTAATTGGGAGTTATCAGCAGACGCTCACCCAATTGACGGCAATGATGCAGAATATGAAAGCTCATATGGAGCAACTGCAGACTTTAGGCGATATGGAGGACTTTGGTGAGATGCTGTCAGTACCAGGAGGAAAGCCTTTTCTGGAACGGAGTGAGGGAATGACAGCCGCAACGAGGTTTCCACGAGACACATTGTCAACCGCCGGAACTAGGAGTGTTTAGCTGCTACACCTCGACACCCACCCAAGGAGGGTTCCCAACACTCAGCGCCTCAGATTCGGGAACATCTCATCAGGGGGAGAGGGAACATGTTTCCACCCGTCATACCCACTTTCCGGAAGCAGAGACACCAACAGGAACCCAGGAGAAGGAAAACCAAGTACAAGATATACAGCCCAGGACGGATGGAAGGGAGGCCATTGGACATTATGCTACCAACCCAGAGACTGGAGAGTTAATGGGCACTATGAGGCTTCCCCAGAGGCCGATGCCAAGGTTCAGCGGAGGGACTTGTGACGAGTATTGGGAATTCAAGCATGCCTCCCAAAGCCACATTGGGGAGGCGCCCATACCCTATGCACTAAAATTGGAAACACTTCTCTCGGCCTATACCGGCCGTGCTAAGAAATCCCTAAGAGCGTGCCTGCAAATAGAAGACCCCAGGGCAGGATACGAACAAGCTCTAGCCTTGCTAGAAGACCGCTATGGCAACAAGCAAGCCAACATCCAAGAACTAGTAGGCAAGGTCCTACGTGGCCCAGCCGTGAGAACAGATGACATTAAAGGACTTCTGGAGCTCGTGGACGATCTGGGAAATTGCGTAAACAACTTAAAGGTACTGGGAAAACTGCACGAAATTGACACGTACGAATCACTGAATACTTTGGCTAAGAGATTCACGGGAAAGATCAGGGAGCGATACGAGGATAGAGCATATGGCTATGAAAGGGGACACAGGAATTCTCCAGGGGTCGAGTGGATGAAGGATTTTGTTCTGGAGATGCTAGACAGGACAAGGAGGGCTTCGAGGGGACTAAGACAAGAAGAGCCGAGCGGGAGACGAACAGGCTCACACCCATACCCTTCCTCATCAGAAACGAGACCTGTGGGCCTAGTGACTTCGGGAAGAGAGGAGGTTAGAGGAAGGGACGACTGCACTTGCCCGTTGTGCCCTGGATATCACCCTCTGCAGAGATGCCAAGCATTCCTCAACATGTCGACTGGAGCGCGAACTTCACTCGAACGTGAAGAACTTCGCTGTTTCGCCTGCTTAGATCGCGCTCACCGGATGGCCGAGTGCATCCAGAAGACAAGGTGTGGCATAGATGGCTGCTATAGCTTCCACTCGAATCTCCTGCAATTCTCGAGAAATTCTATGTGCAATAACACACCAAACCGGGACGAGCCATCAAGAAAGGAACTCAGCCAGTTTTCAAGGGATGAAAAGAGCTTCCACCATGGATGCATACCAGACAGAAGTGTCGCCCGACCACAAGCGGCAGAAGCTAGATGACTGTCAACTCAAGGCCATCATGTCAGCACCGAAATCAACGACCAGTGGAGCTAGGCCATGGAAACCCGAATCCAGCTCGAGAGTTATGGAGAAAAGGGCTGGAAACAGGCAGGTTGCACCGTTGACCACAAACCGAGAAAACCCGTATAAATGGGCCAGAGATACTTACGATCGAGAAAATAACCAGTGTGAGGGGCCCGAAGATTACACCATATGACTAGCAGATCAAGGGAGAGTTGCACTCCCCATATTAAAGGTCAAGGTCGGGAAGATAATGCGAGAAACGAATACAACAGTGATCACCGGAGCACTCTTGGACTCAGGCAACAACAGGTCTTACTGCACCGGGAGCCCAACCAACCTACTACGAATAACAGAGAATTCTGTTTCAATATCCATACGCACGACCCTGAAGGAGACGAGGAGCGTGAAGACCAAAGAGATCGATCTGAAGGTGACCTGCCTTCTTCACTGGAAGCATCGGTTGCGGACACCAGAGCTATTGCCAAGTGGAGGCACCTCAAAGGAACCACACCACTCCACGCACCGAAAAGAGTGGATCTCCTGATAGGGTTAGATTACCACAAGCCGTAACACTATTAGAAGTAAGGACTAGGGAGAACGGAGAGCCGTTCGCGGTGTGCACACTTCTAGGATGGGCCATACACGACCAGATTGGACCTGCAATAAGTAACCACCTAGCAATACACCACCTCATCTCAGAAAAGCCGCTGAGCCTGGAGACTCGTTTAGAGAAACAGGTCAGACACTTCTGGGAATGTGACTCAGCCTACTGCAATGAAAACCCCATCTCTGTTGAAGAGAGAAGAGTCCTGGTGCTGTGGTCAACTTCAGTGACGAGGGTGGACGGGCACTATCAACTTTCCATACCGGTCCATCATGAAGAGTGGGGACTCCCGAATAACAAGAAACTAGCTGAGCAACGGTTAGCAAGCTTGAAGAAAAGTCTCCTGAAAGACCCAGACCTTCATCAAAGATATCGAGAAGAGATGCAAAACCTGATCAACAAGGGACACGCTGAGAGAGTCCCACACCGTGAGCTTACCATTGTGCCGGGGAAAACCTGGTATCTCCCACATCACCCAGTATTGAACCAAAATAAGCCCAGGAAGTTGAGAATAGTTTTTGACTGTGCAACAACGTATGAGTCAGTGTCCCTGAACAGCCAAGTGATGCAAGGGCCAGACCGCAACAACAAATTAATGGGAGTCCTCTTTAGGTTCCGACAAGAAAGGGTGGCACTTATGGCTGATATCTAGGTTATGTTCCACCAGGTATGAGTACTGCCTGAGCATCCTGTAGTGGACAGACGACCAACTATCGGGAAACCCGGTCACTTACCAGATGAAGGTACATCTCTTCGGGGGATTGAAGAGCCCATCAGGTGCTGGATATGTACTATGACGAACATTCCAAGACCACGGGCAAAGGCTCCATGAAGAAATTAAGAAAGCAAGTCGCAACTTCTATGTCGACGATCTGCTTCTTTCAGTAGCATCACCAGGGAAGGCGACGATAGTCACTCACCAACTGAGGCAGTTGATGAAGAAAGGCGGGTTCAGACTTACAAAATGGATCTGCAACCACAAAGGGGCCCCCAGAGCAGTCCCACAAACGGAAAGAGCCATGAAAGTGAAAGAAGTACTTTTGAAGGATGACAGGCTCTCAGCTGAGTGAGCATTGGGAATCATGTGGGATCTAGAGAATGACGAACTCGCAGTCCGAGTCCAGATCGCGACGAAATCGCGGACAAAACGAGGTCTCCTGAGTATGGTCAGCTCCATATCCAACCCATTAGGAATCATCACTCCGAGCACCATATGAGCCAAAATCATATTCCAGGACGAGTGCAGGCGAGGCTTCGGGTGGGATTAGCAAATGACCAAACACAACAGAGCCGCTTGGCGGCAGTGGCTAAATGAACTTCCCCACTTGTTTCAAGTACGCATCCCTCGACGTTACCACCCTGAATGCGCAAATCCAATTACTATGGTACAACTGCACCGCTTCTGTGACACCTCCCAGCAAGCATACTGGGCTGTATCCTACCTCAGGATCACAAGTGGAGACGGAGCCCACTCAACCTTCTTTGTGTGTGGCAGAGCCAAGCTAGCTCCTCTGAAACAGCAAACCATACCAAGGCTCGAGCTATGTGCGGCAGTGTTGGCGACCATAGCAGACAAACAACTGAGAGAAGAACTAGAATTACATATCGGCAGATCAGTGTTCTGGACAGACATCATGGTCACCCTTCAATACATACGAAACACTGAACGGCGCTTCCATACCATTGTGGCAAACCGAATTGTAACGATAAATGAGAATTCCGACGCGGAACAATGACGACACATGAGCTTCAACCAAAATCCAGCTGATGATGCCAGTTGTGAACGGCATGGGGCAGAATTGAACAAGGATTGCAGATGGATTCAGGGACCCCGTTTCTCCTGTTGGGAGAAAACAATTGGCCAAAGAGCCCAAAGCCAATTCCTAACCTTGCAGATGAAGACCCGGAGGTAAAAGGAGATACAACAGTACTGGTAACGAGCACTGACCAGGGGGAGAGTTCCCTAAAAAATGCTATGGGCAAGGTATTCCTCGTGGCATTAGCTACTGAAAGGTGTGGCGTGGCTAAGGAGGTTCATACAGTGGCGCTTCAGCGATCCAAAGGAAGAACGTCACCAAGAAGATCGACTGAAGATCAGCGAGTTGGATGAGGCAAGATTAGCTGTCTTGCATCTGATACAAAGGGAAGGTTTTCCCCACGAGATGGAGGTACTGGAACGAGGACACACCGTCAGGACTGGTGACGTAAGGAGACTGGAACCTTACCTGGGTGCAGACTGCCTGATCAGAGAAGGCAGCCGACTGAAGCGTGCTGCTCTCCATCAAGACCAAAAGAACCCCATACTGTTACCCATGGACAAAAAACCCACAGAACTTATCGTACAAGAGGTACACTCGGAAACCATATTCTCTAGCCCACCTGGGTCGGTGCTGGAGGTTAGTACAGTGTCCTTTCTGGACGGGGCCCACTCTAGCTATCACGAGGCAACACACGCACGAACACACACAGTCATAGTACAGCTGTATAGATGACATTATGTATAAATATTGTATATGGCATTTTATACTCTGCATTATCTTCATTATATATGAACACGAAGAAAAATTACCATAGGTTGTAGTTACGAAAGTATGAATGGAAATAAACACTTCCAAACCACCCATGACTCCACACAACGTGTGTGTGTGTGTGTGTGTGTGCCAGACCACGATGCTTCCACCACACCCCATCTATAACTTTTATTTTCCCTTCATTCGCATAACTATATGAAAAATCGCGTTTAATTTAACTACATATTTCAAAAACCTTAAATTACATGTGGATCAGTCACTGCTCATTTGCCTCACTTATAGTGTAATACTTTGACCATCCCACCTGGGCACATGGAGGCCCACGGTAACTCTCACGGGGTAACATACACACGAACGAACAAGTTATGATATGAACCCTTCCAGGCTTCACTATCATTATCATGTTATGTTCATCGTGCTCTGTATCTTGGTAACTAGTCATAGTATCAATATATGAGTGTTATTAGTATAATATTGTAACTTTTGCCCTACAGTTATTGTTGTAAATCATGGACAGGAAGGATACATAAATTGTAATATCAAGTGTATGGTTCGCTCAAAGCCACCCCAAGTCAGAAGGCGTCACATAAAGTTACACTGTGTGTGTGTGTGTGTGTGTGTTCCGTAACATTAAGCTTCATCCTTAGTGTAGGTTATGCATCTAAGCTACTGTGCCGAGTAGCAACCTTGTAAATAAGCTACTGTGCCGAGTAGCATTTATATATATAATTACGTGGCAACACTGCACGTGTTATGTGGCAACATTGCCCCGAGGCTGCCATATGGCAAGGCAGTCTCAGTCTGACTGTGTGAGCCGTGCATGGCAAACGCTAGTCACCACTTGTATTTCTCTCATCCATAATAAACGGACTTCAGTGTTACCCGGTGTTTCCCTACCCATCACTGCATTCTTCGGGGAACACTTGTAACCATCACTTAGTAGGTAAGATGTTTCATAAAGAGGTTTCTCCCATTCGTCATTGTGAGCATCGTCCCAGAGCACATTGTTTCCATCAAAACCATGGTTCATCCTTATTTCCCTTCTTCCGTGTAACTATATCCATATGGCTAAGTGCTTGCTTTTCATTTCTTTATTTACCAAAATAATGTGGATCAGTTACTCGTTATTTAACACATACATGAACTTAGAGCATCAAGATTGTTTTGTAGGCATGACAATTGGTTAATTGAAACCCCAAAAATATTTTTCACATTTATTATGCATAAACATTGTAAACATATCTATGTGATTATTGTAGTATATAACATATATTTAATGTCTGGACAGATTCCCAAGAGTTATGCATATTAATGCATAGATTTTGTAAGCATACTTATGTGAAGTGAGGTAAAACCACATAGTAAAATACCTGGACAAATTCCCGAGAGTTAGGATTCGAAGTCTATGTGGCCCCAACGAGGTTACACCAGAGAGCTAACTCCCCCGCCACCCCCTACAAGGCACCGTCGAGGGCGGAGATTTAATTCTTGACCACAGGTTAATACCGTGTCCAACCTCCATCTGCAGCTATAACTTCATGCAATCTGGTGGGCATGGAATCTACCAGATTGCTGCAGATGTTCGGCCTCCTCCTTATTCCCTCCCACACATTATGTGCGTGTCTCCTCACTGCCTCCCTTGTTTTCTCCTCAACATCCCATTCAACAACCATATGCGCCCATAGATTTTCTATTGGATTACAATCGGCTCCTTTAGGGGGCCAGTCCAATAGAATAATCTGCGGGTGCGCCTCAAACCAACGCTTGACTGCCTGACTTGTATGTATTGGACTGCTGTCTTGCACCATCCATTTAGGCTGGACACAGACTCATTCATCAACGCCATGACGAGGTTCACATCCCGCAGAGGACCTCCCAAGCGCATCAGATCCAACAATGGAACCAACATGATTGGAGCGAACAGAGAACTTCAGGAGGCGGTGAGTAAGTGGAAGAGCAATGACAATGTTAGGAACACACTCTTGCAGAGACAAATAGAATGGGAGTTCAACCCTCCTATTGCCTCTCACATGGGTGGAGTATGGGAGCGTCAGATCCGCACGGTGAAGACGGTTCTCCAGGTGGTGATCGGCACACAGTAACTAGACGACGAGCGACTCAATACCCTGTTCTGTGCCGTGGAAGAGATCGTCAATGGAAGGCCCATCACCCAAGTATCCGACGACCCGACAGACCTAGAGGCACTCACGCCGTTTCACCTATTGTAAATGCACGCAGGAACCCTGCCCACTGTAGGCGATCATTCCATAGCAGAAGTGTACCGACGAAAATGGAAGCATGCCCAATTCATTGCAGACCAGTTCTGGAAGAGGTGGGTGAAGGAATATCTCCTGACACTCAGGCGGCGACAGAAGCACTTCTGGGCGCACCGCAACTTCCGCACTGGGGACATCGTCATCGTATCTGGACATCCTCTCCCAAGGAGCACATGGTTGCTAGGAAGGGTATTGGAGGCGGTACCGGGTGATGACGGCATGGTGCGGCGTGCAAAAAAGATGAAAACGAAGGACTCAGTGTTAATACGTCCAGTGACAAAGCTCTGCCTATTGGAGGAAGTCAGAGAGTGAGACTCCCGGCAGACAATGGTTTTCGAGCAAGCTCGACAGGGGGAGTCTTACCGCCACAGTAGGATAACCTAGAAGAGAGAGAGAGGGGGATAGAGAGATAGAGAAAGGGAGACAGGAGAGAGAGAGACAGAGAGAGAGAGAGAGAGAGAGAGAGAGAGAGAGAGAGAGAGAGAGAGAGAGAGAGAGAGAGTTTACAACGAACTTTGCTGAGGTGTTAAATGTGAAACAGATGGTCCTCGCCTTGGGGCTGACTCACTCGCTCCCTGTGGGGTTCAGTAGACAGTTTCTATCCGTCTAGTGAGCTAGCACGTAAGTTTTTATATGGTGTAACACCCTACTCTACTCAAATATATCATATGTAGTTGTTAATAGTGAAGGAACGTACGAGTGAATTCCTGTGTGTCTTCTCGTGCTGTGTATCTTCTCTTGCTGTATGTCTCCTCCCGTGTGTCTTCTCCTCCTGTGTGACTTCTCGTGCTGTGTATCTTCTCTTGCTGTATGTCTCCTCCCGTGTGTCTTCTCCTCCTGTGTGACTTCTCGTGCTGTGTATCTTCTCTTGCTGTATGTCTCCTCCCGTGTGTCTTCTCCTCCTGTGTGACTTCTCGTGCTGTGTATCTTCTCCTCCTGTGTGTCTTCTCTTGCTGTGTGTCTCCTCCCGTGTGTCTTCTCCTCCTGTGTGTCTTCTCTTGCTGTGTGTCTCCTCCTGTGTGTCTTCTCTTGCTGTGTCATCTGCTTTTGCTGTAACATATGTAATTTGTACTCTGCAGGTTTTGACCGAATAAAGAATAATCGAATCCTACGTGCAAACGTCTCATTATCCCATAGTCGCTCATCGGGCGGTTACACTTATCAAGAGAAATGGTCCCAACTATAAATTTAGGATGTACAGAAAGCCTACACAGGTAGACAGTTTCATACATTTTTATCGAGTCACCATTCTGCTATGTTTTTGAGATGTTTGAGAATTTGTGACCCTGAATCTATTGAAGAAGAACTGTAACACATTCAGTTCATTGCACAAAAACTTGGCTACCCTTCATTGTTTGTTGATCGCTGTCATAAAAGGGCTAAAATTCCCTTTATTGTGCACATACTAGGCAAGTTAGTTCAATCTCTTAAATTACTAAACATTAATGTTGTTTTTAAGTATGACTCAACTATTACTAGTATGTTTATTAAGAACAGCTCAACCTTGAATGTAAATGGAAGTGTTTACTGTGTTCCATGTAGCAATTGTAATGGAAATTTTGTTGGTCAGACTGGGAAAGCATTACAACTTAGAATAAAACAACACAAGTATAATACTACAACAGCATCTGAAATCAGTGCACTTTTCGTTCATATTAGGAACAATAATCATCCCATGGATTGAGAAAACAGTGTAGAAGTGTTTAAATCAACTTGTGTCACAGAAAGACTGATTAGGGAAATGAATTATATAAACCTTAGTGATGGTCAGTACAAAACTGATAATATGTTACATGAATTTATTTGTCAGTGGCCCAAGGTTAAAAATGCTTTGAAAGCATTTGACGTAGATGTAGGGTAGATGGTTACAGTGTGTTTTTCGTCCTGAAGTAATGCTGTATTTCTAAATGAGTTTATTCATAATCGTTGGGATGACCGTTTCTGACGAGAAAGACATTTAGCTAAATTGAATAAAGATAAATATAATAATTATTTCAAACATGAGCACGTTGGAAGTTTATAAGAAATTTTATACATGAATTAACTGTTAAACTCTGGTAGCAAATTGACGCTTTCGGAGGACGCATTTAATATATACTTATTTTTACTCAAAATAAGGCATACTAAGACAAGATATATATATATATATATATATATATATATATATATATATATATATATATATATATATATATATATATATATATATATATATATATATATATTGTTACGACCGTGTCGTATTTTTTCTATTTTTTTTATATATAACATGCTCCCATGTTCCATATTATTCCTGTAATGATGTGTTAAATTTACTATTATATATTCTAGTCACCTTACCCTGTGCTGTTAAGGTTTTAACTGTCATTATTTGTTCAAGCCCATCTTATTTCTTTATTTTGTATTGTAACCAGCATTCTTTGTTCTCTAACGACCATCTGCATCGTTAAACGACCCACCGGCGGGTCGCGTGGCGGGAGCCGACCTTATATATAGGACCCACCAACTGACTTGAGTCAGTTCAGTCCTCTTGTCATACAGTCCACATGCTTTGAGTGACACTCGTCACTTATTCTTAATTTATTTGTGTTGTTCCTGTCGCCACCAATGTGGTATATCTATGTGAGTACCTATTTATGTCTCTGTTTGTGTCCATCAGTATTTGCTTAGTTGTATTCAAGTAATTCAGTGTTGTTTCATGTTAGTTAATTTCAGTGATAGTTTTTATATGTTTATGCAGTGTTAACGTAATCCAATGCTTTATTTTTAATCTTTTGATGTTTCGATGTTTTGTATCACTTGTGTCTTAAAAGTTTCGATGGTGAATCAATTTGTTGTGACAGCCTACGAGGCTCTTTATTGTGTTAATATTTAATCAATTAAATTCTTAAAGGTTTACTTTATTTATTTTTATTCTTTTAATTTACTTCACTTTTTGTGTGGTTACGCCTAGAACCTGGATATTTAAGTAAATTAAGAGACGGCGTAACTATATATATATATATATATATATATATATATATATATATATATATATATATATATATATATACTTAGCGCGGAGTGTGTTGCCTCTAAATACACGTTCGTTTTGATCATAGCACGTCAGTCAACATACTGTACGTCACAAGATATCATCCGGCACCACCCTGCTTTCTATCCACACCTTTGTTACGACGCTAGTAACAGCCACACCCCGTCACACACTCGTCACACTCAGTCACCTGTCCCTCATAAAATAAATATTATGTTGTTGGTATAAATTATAATGTAGGATAACCCACACGTTCACCTGGTCAGGTGAGGCCCATCCTTGACCTTCATTATGCAGTCGTTTGTGACCACCAAACATTATACTACTACAGAACCTTGACATCTGGTACTGTATACTGAAAACTTGTTTAAGGACGATGATCAGAAATTTTATAAACCCCCTTGTTGATGGGAATGGAATTTCACTTTTTTTAAATAATTTGACTAACCTTGAGTTTCTCACAAGACTCTCAGGAGTTGGGATTGACTGGTCGTTGTTGAATGTTGCTGGTTAAGTGGAAGCTCTTGGTGGATCGTCAGTCGGACGGGCACTGGTTGGCTGCTCCCTGGTGGGCAAGTGGCGCGTCACCTCTTTCATTTACGTCACAAGTTTTCCATGAAAATGTGGTTTCTTATGAGGACATTTCAGATAATTCCTCATCCGAACTGAGAAAGTTGATACACGGGTAGGGCAAACAATTTTCTTGAAGGATACTTCGAGGACTTATCAGAACCAAAGAGATACTAAAAAAAACAAAATTAATCACTGACTTTAATTCTGTAGCTACGACAACTAGCGATGAGTAGAGCAGTGAGGTTTACGTCACATCCGGAGAGATTGTGGTGGTCTTCCCATGATATATGACAACCACTACTCCCTCACTCTTAGCTCTCTTTCACCAACTTAACCACATATAGTAGAATCTATGGCTACACATTAAATCCTGTAGTTATGAGCAAATAGCGACCAATTTAAGCTGGTTAAAACAAAATGGACGAAATTCAATGTTCTTGATATTATTTCGAGACAGTTCAAGAATAATGGGTAAGAAAGGGTATAAGAGGAACAGAAGTGCACAGTACAATACTAGTGACAGCGGGGACACAAACACGATAACCAACTATTACAACAACCTTCAAACACAACACACACTATAATCCACTATAACAACAACCCACAAACACAACACGTATACACACAGCAAACAATAAATTTAAGCCAAAATCTAAAATTCAGGTAAAGATTAAAATTTAAGCAAAATATTATACCAAGAACTTGCGTTTTCTGAAACCTCATTGTTGCCTTCTCCTGGGGGACATTCTAAAACTAAGATGGATGGAGAGGAAGGGTCACATTATCTGGAGAAATGGCTGAACACGGGCTAATATCGAAGACGATGGAACAGTATCAGAGGAATAAGATGGTTTGAAAGGATAAGAGAAGTCTGTAATAAATTTGTACGCACATTTTCTAAATATTTTTGGAGGGATAATGTCAGGTGTCACGACTTTATATGTCTCAATGTTGGGTAAAGCAAAACGAAAACAGGTAGGTACAAGATATAGTTACATACGATGACAAGAAACTGGAGCAAGGATCTGGGAGACACTGTTTCCTTGTTCAGGGGTTGAGGCCTGGACGAACACGAAACATATACTTGGATTGAATTGAATTGAAACAGTTTATTTAGCCAAAAAAACACAGATACAGAGTGGATAATATTAACAATATTAACATGGCCGAGCCAGTTGAGAACCTGAGCTCTCTTTTAGGCACCCAAGGACGTATTATGAAACATTTAGCAACATCTGGAATAGAAAAATAGCATGGTGGTAATAAGAACATCTCATAATGTTACCACTGTTATCACTTCAATATTGATTTATTTTATTTATTTATTATTATTATTTTTTTTTTAAATTTATATTATAAGTATATACATAAATTACAGTGGAATTGAAAAACATAAGTATAATGGGGGAGCAGTACAACATGGGTTGTACCGTATTAAGGTTTAACGAGAGGACAAAGCTGTCAGGATTATGTCTAGTTGGCAAATATGTTTATTGCAATGGTAATTTCTTATCTATTTACATGATAATTTCCAATAAAACGGTTATGATGGCACAATAAAAGCAGGTACTGTAAATATAGTAGGTGTTACAAGAAATATTAATACTTCGACAATAGATATTTTTTAAGAGATGATTTAAAGGAAGGGAGCGTAGTCTTTGCTCAGGTGTGTGGGGTAAGTTGTTCCACACCTTCACACCATGAAATTTTATGGAGGTCTGGGACTGAGAGGAGAACATTTTTTTTTTTTTTTTTTTTTTTTTTTTTTTTTTTTTTTTTTTAGGTTAAGGTGGGGAAAGGATGGAAGGCATGCTGGGGCTCGAGGCACAGCCAGACATGAGGGATGGAGAAGTCACAACATATAGTCGCGGGGGGAAAGGTTGGAAAAGAAGTTTAATGAGTTAAACAGAGGGGGACGACACCCCTTGTTTTACATATTACAGAGTTTGTTGGCTAACTAAGCTAACCTAGGATTTAGAATGAGGTTGCACAATGGTTATTTTAGTAGACAATGACTAGATTGATTTTACAATTACAAGTTTATTAACATCTTATACTGTATTACGTTATGGACTCACTTGATTGTGACTTGTTAAATGTGAATTTATATCATCTAAGTTTTAATCTAAGGTGGATCACTGTGGCGGACATAGATGGATCGCGGGTTGGGTTGTTGTAGTGCGGGCAGACTCCGGGGCCACCAGGCGTGGGGTCTCCCTCCGTTGATGTCTTCCCCGCGTAGGTGGTCTGGGCTGTGAGGGTCGTCCAGGAGCTTGTCCCAAACCTTCTTCCCTAGGCGATGGAACCTGAAGTTGAGGGCCTCTGTTTTATTTCTTAGGTGGATGGTTTCCACTGTCTCCTGGTAGGGTGGCGCTTGGTCACTGGCTGACCTCAAACACTTGTTTTGGAAGCTCTGTAGTTGTTGTAGTCTAGTCTTCCCGAGTGTGACGAGTGGTATAGATGGGTACTCCAACACAGGCCTCACCAGCGCCTTGTACAGGTGAACTTGTATCTTCTGAGGCATCAGTTTAAAACGTTTTAATTTGGCTGCGGCGACTTTGGCTTTATTTAGTCTGTCCTTCACGTGGGGAATGATGCCCGTCCGAGAAATGATGAGGCCGAGCAGCCTGCCTTGTTCAGAGTACTCAATCTCTTCGTCGTCGATCATCAATGGCGCCGGCTTGAATTTGGCTATGGGTATGACCTCAAATTTTTGTTTGTTTGTTTTTATTTTCCATTTATTTTCATACTCCGAGATATCCTCTATTGCCCGATCAGTGAGTCGCGCCATCCTTGCTGTGGACCTTCCTGGGCATTTGACGATCTGTGTTACATCGTCGGCATACATGACGTACTCGCTGCCGACGATTGGGGGTGGCAGGTCAGCCGTGTAGAGTGTGTAAAGGGTTGGTGAAAGACAAAAGCCCTGAGGCACGCCGCTCGATAGTGAGACTTCTTCTCCAAAATGTTCTTGCATCTTGATTTTGGCTCTGCGGTCCATAATGAATTTGCACAGCAGGCGCGTCAGATTTTCGGGTAGCCCCAGTTGTATGATCTTATACTGCAGCCCTGCGTGCCAAACTTTGTCAAACGCCTTGCTGACGTCCCTCAGTACTATATTGCACTGCAGGCGGCCAGTCATGGCATTGGCGATCTACTCGTAGGCCTGAGCTATGGCGGTGGATGTGCCTCGGTACTGGCGGAAGCCGAACTGGCGGGGATTATGCACGTCTTCGTCCTCCAGATACATCCGCAATCGCTTGTTGACTATTTTTTCGAAGATTTTGGCAGGTACCTCTAGCAGCGATATTGGTCGAAAGTTTTCGACTTTGTTTGGAGGCTTCCCTGCTTTTGGTATGAGGCGAATAACGGCGATTTTGAACATCTTAGGGAAGTATCCAGAGGCGAGGCAGGCGTTGCATATATGAGCAAGCCTCTCTATCATGTTGTCGGGGAGTTGAGCCAGGATCTTCTTGTTAATGTGACTTTGACCAGGTGATTTGATTTTAAACCCTTTTATGACGGCTGACACATCTGCAGGAACTATGCGCTCCGTCAGGTAGCTTCCGTCCACCAGTCTAGTGAAGTCAGTCCGTGGGAGCGGCTGGAGCAGGTGCTGATGGTCCTGCAACTGACCTAAAATGTCCTCCTCAAACTCCCTGTCGAAGCCCTCGTTCTCCTGTTCACTAATGGTAAAGATTTTTCGTAAATATCGCCGATGTAGTTATTCTTGGTTTTCTTCCTCGAGTATTTTTACGTTGTTTTGGTCGAGCAGGTAAGGGACCGTGCTAGAGGTGGAACCCATCAGTCGCTTGATCCCTTTCCAGAATGCAGCAGAATCGCGGAAATTGTTGGCTGCCTCCCACACCAAGGCGGCCCACTTTTGTTCATGTAGACGTTTGCTCTCGTGCTGGATGTCCGTCTGTAGCTCTCGGTACCGGTCTCTCAGCTCCTGCGTCCACCCACGGATACTAGCTAGCTGTCTCACGTGAGCGTACTGGACACTGAGCTGCCTCAGCTGGTGACTAGTGTGAGGATGGGGAATGGTCCTGTAACTGGTGGTCGGGATGTTGTTGTCCATCTCCGTCTTCACATCCTTATATATTAGACAGAGGAGCACATGGGGGGTGGTCTTAGTAGCTCTGGGTGCCTTAAGCTGTATCTCTCATTATTCCGGAACTGGAAATAATTATTGTCAAGCAAATGATTGATAGATTTGTCTTAGGTTGTAGTGGTAGTTGTGAAATCGGGAAAGTTCATGTTGACAGTTAACTATTGAAGTAGACAGTTAACATGCCCAATCATATTAGCTCCTGAGGAGGTTGATGATTAACATGCCAATTGTTATATTATTCACAACAAAGGCAGACAGTTAACATATAAGTCATTATGTTATCCATTACTACGGTAAACGTTTAAGATACCCAGGGTTTAATATAATAAGAGATAGGCAAAAGTCAACAGATCACACACTCTACATAATATATCTAAACATACAGTATTAGTGCATTTTTCTCACACCTACTCTCTTGTTTCAATGTCTAAGACTCTCTTCTGTCTCTACACTTAACCTTTCAACACACACATGAGACAGCAGCGAGACACCCAGGAGCTCAGTTCGCACTCAGAGTTCACTCACAGGGATATATGTCATGCTGAAGAATGATCCTGACATCCTAAGTGACCTTGTCAACAATGAACTAGTGGAAATAGCAATGCAACATCCACCATTGACATCAAACAGGACTACCATAATAATCAAAGGACTCGACCAGTTCCAGCACCCTGTAATGCTCGAACAAGATGAGTACATTACAAGGCCAAGACGGCTCAAAGGCAAGATTGCAGTCATTGCTGATTGGATAGGATCTGAGGACCCACCCAGGGCTCTAACTGTCCTTGGTGCTTACCGTTATCTAAAAGTAGACATCTATCAGCCTCGATCCTGGAGATGTTGCAAGTGTCAGCGATGGGGCCATGTGGCTCGTGTCTGCCCTTCTCAGAGACCGTGGTGTGGTTTGTGTGCATGA